ATCCTCGAAAAGTCGCAGCTGGTAGGAAGTGTGCGCTAGCGAGGAAGGCAAAGGCCTACAATACTGAACATAGCCCGATTAAAACTTAGGCTACCTACTTACTAGGGGTTGTTGCTGTAGCAGTTGTATGGTTTTTTAAGACCGGAGAAGAGAAAACACCACAAGTTCAAAAATTAGATGAGGTTCAATTGGAGTTAAGCCCCCATGTAATATTATAAAAGCATGACTACTCCAGTTACAGATGGTAAAATGTTGGGAAACACAACATATCATTCAGCGATGGTCAGTGGCTTGGCGATTGGCTATGCTCATATAGCTAAAATGATTTCTAAAGCCACACCACCCAAGCTAGATTTTGATGGTTATGATATCGGTATAATGGTTCTCGATATAGGACTAGCAAAGGCGACAAAAGTTATGCTCATCAAACATGGGCTTATCCCAGAAGACATAATGAAGTAATTAAACATTTGAATATTTTATAAACATAGTATTATTGAACACAGTTCAAAACATCATGGCATCAATTGCGATGATGGTCGGTGGAGCTATTGTTAATGCTCTAGCTCTAGGGGAGTAATATTTTATTTTCTAGTATGAGAGGAGAGGAGCAGAAAAGATATAATAAAGCATTAGAACAACTCGAAGCAGCCCAGTCACAATGGGTCAGACAGAGGATGTTAAGATTTTATTAATGATGAACTGCGTAAGCAAGGACATTCAATTCAAACGTTTAAGGATGTTGAATCTGCCATGCATGAATACTTCCTTGTTTATGGAAAGAAACTTGACCCAATACCGAGACCAACACTCTCTCAGTTTTATACACCGTCAGAGGCTCAGAAAGACACCAAGATAGCGTTTAAAGTTTTGGGGTTGTCAGTAGTTGCGATTTTCAGCTACACAATTACGCATAAGCTATGACTCAACTGCTCACCAGTGGAGATATGATTTGCACTTAGACAAATGATATGATAGATGTATTACCATGAATATGTGTATATTTACACTCATGGGGAAAAAAATTCAATGCAACCGGCGTTGTTCGGGTATATACTGCGGTATACATGACTATTACATCAGACAGGGAAATATAAATTATACGTGTTCTGTATTTTGGATAGGGGTCAAAGGTCGTTATTGTTTATGTAAGAAACATGGCACTGATAGGGTCAGGAACCAGATTATTTATGCTAGGAAGAGAGATTAAATCAATGAGAGGAATAGGTTGGGGAGAATACGTATTTAGATGTATGGAAAAAAACAACGTTATGAGGTTTGACTCATTTTGCATACACCATTAAATCACAATGGTTTTTGTCAGAGAGTTGAAGGTTTTGGCAAAACAACGTGGTCTACGTGGTTATTCTCGAATGAGAAAAGCTGAATTGATTGATTCACTCGGTTTGGAATACAACAAACCCCAGACTGTTAGAGAACTCAAAGCTGAAGCGAAAAAAGTGGGCTGAGAGGTTATTCTCGAATGAGAAAAGCTAAATTGATCGCTTTACTGAATGTTCATAAAAATCAACCAAATGATGTTGATAAAAATCAACCAGATGATGAGTTAAGATTTGTACCAATAGGTGGCGTTGGTAAATATCTAAGAGGTTGGAAGATGGATATTAATTCCAACATGGATGTTTATGATGTTAAGCCCATCATATCGAGCAAAATTGACGAGGAGTTAGATGATTTAAATAGTATAAAATACCAGCTAACGGTTAAAATGTCATTGAGTAAAAATGACGCCAGATATACCGAACCTTATTTCCGGAGCAATCAAGAAGTTATAACCGAATCTGATACTATAAGCGCATCATTAGATGCATCAATTCAATGGATACAAGAAACTTTAGAACGTTGGACTAATAGAGGTTCGGGTTTGGGTGTGGATAAAACCAATAGTTTATATTTAGATATAGCAAATTATATGCCTTCCAAAGGTGGATCTTATGAAGATTTACCCCCATATTATAAGAAGAAAAAAGCTATAGTTAATGTAAAAAATAAAGGTGATGGCTGTTTAAGAATTACGATAAAATCTGCATTGTTCCCTACAGACAAACATCCGGATAGACCTTCGAGCTATCCCCAAAACGATGGACTCAAATTTGATGGTATAGACGAACCTACACCAATCTCACAAATTGATAAGGTGGAAAAGCAAATAATTTGGCTATAAATGTTTTCGGACATTCTTCTAAAGGAATTGTTATACACAGGATAAGCTCCGCCCCAGAACATATTCCCAGAATCAATTCATTTCTAATTGAAAAAGATGGTAAATATCCTTTAAAAAACCTTTACCCATGGGTGGTTTTGAGTGGATTCATGTGAATGATATCGATGTGATATCGATCCCCACAGATTCCGATAAAGGATACATACTAGAAGTTGACTTGGAATATCCAACAGAGTTACACAAAGATCATAACAGTTATCCGCTAGCTCCCAAAAGATTTATGGTTAATAAGGATTGGATGTCGGAATATCAACACTCCTTGATTGGCAATACTAGGTAAGCTAACGTAGAAAAACTCGTACCAAATTTGATGGATAAGACAAAATATATAGTTCACTATAGAAATCTCCAGTTATATCCATCGTTAGGCATGAAACTAAAGAAAATACACAGGGTTCTTAAGTTAGACCAAAGCCCGTGGAAGGAGCCCTATATAAGACTGAACACAGATTTAAGAAAGATGGCTACCAGCGACTTCGAAAAGAATCTATATAAGGTCATGAATAACTCAGTATTTGGAGTGTTGATGTTAAATTGGTCAGATCTAATGAGGAAGAAAGACTCAGGAAACTTATAGCCAGTCCTGCTTTACACAGAAGCAAAATATTTGATAACGACTTAGCGGCGCTGCATATGCAGAAAAGTAATATAAAATTAAACAGACCGGTGTACGTTGGTATGAGTATTCTTGACTTGTCAAAACACTTAATGTATGACTTTTCTTACAACGAACTTAAGAAGCAATACGGCGATAGGTGCGTTGTGTTATATACCGATACTGATTCTTTGTTGATGGAAATACAAACTGAGGATGTGTATAAAGATATGGCAGAAAAATAGATATGTACGACACGAGCGATTACCCAAAAGATAATCCACTGCACAGCGTGGTAAAAAATTAGGTGTTAGGTAAGATGAAGGATGAATGTGATGGGACCCCTATAGCGGAGTATGTCGGATTTAGACCTAAGATGTATTCTATAAAGAAGTCTGATAATGGGAGCTAAGAGAAGCTAAGGGTGTTAAGAAGTATGTGGTTAAAAAGCATATCAAAACACGAACAGTATAAATAAGCATTATTCAATGGTAAAACATTCAAACACGAGATGAACGCTTTAAGAAGTGTCAATCATAGGATATATGGATTAAGAATGAACAAGACATCATTATCCCCCTTAGATACAAAGAGATGGATTGATAATGATGGTGTAACTACCTATGCTTATGGTTATGTTGGTAATACTGTATCGTTTGGAACTAGGAGCAACTCTTCTCGTACAAATGCCCTGCCCGGTCCATCTTTAAGATAATAAAAAAAAGGCTCTCCTTCTTTTGTAACCAACCGACTAATGTTAAATATCTTAAGGGACCAAATCACATCAGTTGCACGACGTTGGCCTCCTTTCGAGTTCACCGGGTTGGTATAAATATCTTACGCTTACTCTATCCAGAAGTTTTTGTTCTTTGCCTCTCAGTCACAGATTCATTTTAATCGCATTGGATGGTTTCTTCCCGATTAATCTCGTTACTTCATTATTCAGATCTGATACAACAGCTGATAATCGTGTCACCCATTGGGTTGATCTTAATGGTTCCGATTTCATTTCAATCCCATACTGATATCCAAACAAACGTTCCGCTAATGTCCGGTTTAATCTTTCAACGATAGCTTGACTACGGTGGGCCTCTTGTCCACAATGCCTGATTTCGACATCGTGCTTTGTTAATAGTTTAGTTACTGATCCCATAAACTCGCGACGGGGATCTACTTAAAATAGCTTAGGCCATTTTAGTGGTCCGCATTTACATATGTGGCTCAGTGCATTAGCTACTTCTGTTGAATCTTCCGAGGTTAATGGTTCAGCCTCCTTGTATCGACAAGCCACATCCACTACGGTTAAAGCGTATTTATACGTTTTGCGTATTACCTTATCATTGGGAAGAAAAAAGAGGTCAGCCTGATGAACATCATTTGTTGTAAAAATATCAAATTTCTTCCTCGGGATATAACGCGGTGCCGGTAAGTATATTTGCCACATCGCTTGTCTCTTTAACCAATCCTTGGCCACATCTTTAGATACCTTGGCCGTAGTGGCCAATTTTTGTATTGCTCCTATACCTTTCCAATATCCCCAGGGCTAAAGTAAATTTTATCCCTTATTAATTAATATTGATTATTCTTTTAATATGAATCATGGCCGGCGATCATTGAATCACATCATCATTTTGACATAGAAAATTCCCTCTATAGTAGCAGTATAGGTATGTAAATCTGGCTCTAGTGAAAAAGTCATTGTCTATACTACTTGTTGAGTATACTATGTAATGTCGTGAGATCGATTTTGTCAGCAGCTTGAGCTCATGATCAGCCCAGCCGAAGAGAGCTTGTGTAACGCAACGACTAACACCTGTGACATGTACTTCATATGCTGAAAGTTGCAACGGCCGCATCATGTTGAAGAAGGTACGGTCTTCTATTTTAACATAGTGTATTGTTTTATACTCATTATGGATATTATCAATATCATTTTACACTATTTCATTACACATAGATGAAGCAAACGAATACTATCTTTATTATCGTCCGATATTCCTGTGTATCCTATATATTCATGTTCAGTTGACTTATGTTTTTGTTTCGATCAAAATCACGATGAATGTCACTTACACAATCATATCCATCCTGTATTACTTTCCAGGTAAGAAGAACATTCTTCTACCTTGCTGCATTACTCTCTTTGTCAAATGTGTTGTATATGGGCTGGATAACAATGACAACACTTTCCCGTCGCGATAGTAAACCTTCAAAGATAAATGTCATCAATTACAGCGACGTTTACAAACCAAATACAAAGACTATTCCAAGTAATTATGGCCAAGAATCCTACCCTAAAGATGCCCACGAAGAAAAGGGAAGTGGTATAGTGACAGATGCACGTGATGATGTAACCATGCACATCAATCAGTCCTGTTCATGGGATAGTATTTCTCCACCACTTGACGAAATGACAAGGAAGAAATACGAAATTCATGATTTATTACGAGTTGTAAGTATCAATGTTCCACAATCACTATTTAACAGATATGATTGATAGTTTTATTTAGTCAAAAAGACATATTCCCACACGGCATGCAATAACACACAATCTTTTATCGTGAAATATAAGTCAGCTACGCGATACATGGCAAGGAACAATGAAGAACGATATTTCACGATAGAACATTGTTCTATCATGACGTCATTTCTAGTGATTAGAACATGCGCTCGCGACTTGATGACGTCGTGAATTGGACAACGTTATTTTTTAGAGGGAAGTGTCAAGTGAGTTGTTCCCCATAGATGTAGCTGGACAACGTAGATAAACGAATATTTGATATAAGAAATAAACGTGCTCGTTCTTTATCGGACAATAAAACACTACAGGTAAAACAACATTACAGGGATAATAAACAACTCAGGGCTGCGCCTCATGCAGTATTTATTGTATGATAAACAATGAGCACGAGTCGTTAATTTCTTAAATAAAACAACACTTCGTTCTTCATTGTTCTTTGCGATCGCGTAGCTATCTTATAAACTGCGATAACACTTGCCTATATACATGCACATTTACTAGGATGTGCTCAAATGACATCGGTTTCAACAGTATTTAGATATTTATAAGCTGTGTAATGCCAATTTTGCGTTTGTTTAAAGAGGTGTTTTCCATTTAGGAGATAAACCTACTGTGTTTTGAAATTTGATGTAGTCCCAATGTAGAATAGATACCTCTTTATTATATTTTCTACCATGACGGCAACAACGCTTTTAAAGAAACTCATTATTAAAAAAACAACATTACCACGTTTAAACTTGAATGTATTAAGTCATACTTAAATCTATGTAAACTCAAGAAAGTAATATATGTATTTATAATTTTTCTTAACTATTTTGATTTCTATTAGGGAGCAGACAAAATCATTAAGAGAAAGATGGTGGGCACCAATCAACCTTAATAGGGATTTTTTTCAACAACTCTAACATTTATGCATCTTAAAATATAATCACAGTTAATTACTTTCAGAATTAACAGAAAATACAGAGTATTAAAGACATGTAGAATTATGTTTGTCATAAGTTTATTGTTTAAACCAAAGATTTATTATTTTCCATGTTTACTGAAAAAACACTTCTTTAATAATGCAATTGTTATATTATCATAGCAGATAAAGAGCCCCAATATGCATATCTAACTTAATTTTACTGATAATTATTCAGCATTTCTTGGGATGATTCACTGGGCATATAACAAATAAGAAATGTATTTTTTATGTATTATTCTCCCATTACAAGGTTTACAGTGACTTTTTTTCACATAATCTATTTGGCTGCCTGAGAGTGGAAAGCTGTGCTGCTATTTTAATCAGAGACCTTAAATTATTCTAATGTGTAATGTGTTAATTTTCAGAACATGGTAAGTAAAGAAAATCTCAAATTTATGGGTGATGAAGAAATGACCAACAAGAGGTTGACTTATAACATTTTACCATAAATCTCATTTCTTAACATGAGCAATGTCTAATTTTAATTTTAATACTTTATACAAAAAAATCATATATGAACAGGTCACTAATATATATGTTTATTATGAGTCTTGTTTTCATGAAGATAAAAAGAAGAAAAAGTACATGTTAATTTTAAATTACCTATTATCAGTAAGTCTTAATTTCTAATCTGATGAAATAAGAAAAGAATTTAGTTTGGAGATAACTGTTGCAATAAAATAACAATGTAACATTACAAGGGTATTAAACTGCAAATGTTTGTATAACTATTGAAGTAATAATTTATTGTTTACATATATCCTATGTGTTTATGTTTCACACACAATAAAGTATTGTGCTTGTCAAATTCACATTGTTTCTTATCATTAACAAATATGGGGAAATGTGATAACTCATTTAATTATATTTTTGGTGTTATGATGTTAAATATTATGTTCAAAAGAAAAAACAAATGTGTTCACCATGTTCAGCAACAAAACAAAAACAAAAAAGATGACATGAAATAATCATCATTTAACATAGTAAATTATTCACTGTAAAATTAGTTTTAAAGAGGAACATTCGTTATAAAATATTACAATCCATTGATGGATTTGAGAAGATATACCTAGCAGTAATCAGCTGATCAGTTGCCTGAGTTGGTATTTATAGAGTTTTGCCTGATTAATCCTGCTGACAGTTCCTTTGGCCCTTGTTTTTCGTTTTCACAATATTTAAAAGAATATTTAATTTCCTCTTAATTGGGTTTATAACATTTGTTTCTAGCGGACAAATAAACGAATAACTTATTTACATACACTAAACATGTGGGCATATTTAGTGTTGCGCACTGAGAATGATAGTCACGGCGAGACGAATGTAAATAAAGTTATGGGCCGAGTCATCCAAAACCATTAACAAATATCAAATCACATTACAAATTCTCAAAACGTTACTCCCATCAGCTTTTAATAGTTAACAAAAAACATAACATGAATGCGAACATGCATGTGTGGCTTGCCTGTCACGGGAAAACTCGTGTGGGTTGTCTTCGCTAGATCCTTTTTACCTGTTTATGGTGCAGTTGTCTCACTGAGCATATTCGAAAACGAGGCTGGGGGGAATCCCGAGTGGTTACTGAACACGGGAAATCTTCAACTACGAGCTCGACTTTTTATGGCGTATTGTTATCGGAGAAGAAGGATTAACCACTGTTTTCGGTTGTTAGGCAAAGCCTCGTTCTAATCGTGACAGATTAATCACTCGTGTGTAGATTTTTCGGTAACAACCGAACACAGTGGTTAATCCTCTATAACAATTATTATTTAACTTCATGATTAAAAACACCATAGTCGTGAGTAGTTCAAAATAAGTGTTCAAAACACATAGTTTTTCAAAAGAAGTTTACAAATAACACTCCAAACTTAGTCCAAAGATAGATGTTATAATCTCTACCAACTTGTTGTACACTATTGTACACCATGGACACCGCTAAAGCGCTCGGTTCAAAATTATAATAAGAGGTATCTATTCTACAGAGGTATCAAATTTCAAAACACTGTAAGTTTATCTCGATTCTACCATGACGGCAATAGCGCTTTGAAAACGGAGCTCTCTTGCAACGCGTAATAACACAGGTGCACGGGTCCGCAATCTTAGAACATTCCGAAAAGTGGTCACAGGTAGTATATGTAACAATTGATAAGCTGTCGCTTCGGTTGGGAAATTGTTTTCGTGTTTTTCTGATGGACTTTCAAATCCCCTCCTGACAAATTCTAACGGCGGAGGTTGACGGAGATGGCAACGAATATCGATCAGAAAAGGGTTTGTAAACAACATTTTGTCATGAATAAAGCTTTTTCAAACAAATTTTATAATGTTTTATTTTACTTTCATTGTCGGTTGTTTCAATGAGAAAAAATTGTTCCGATTCTGGTCACCATAGAACATTTCTCTAACAGTTTCATAAACATTTCATTTGTATGCAAAAGATATGCCTTCGTTAAATCTTATAATGTCATTATCGAAGCAGTCAGGGTTGCGGCCTAGAACGCCCCAAACGTCCGATATCAAACTACCGTATTTCTTCAATTTGACACTACGCCGTCTATTAATTTCGCGAGAGCCCTTGACTCGGCTGGTATTAGAGACCAAGCGTGTATTAGAGGAAATAGAGATATGTTGTACAGTTTATATGGGGGTGATCGATCGGCAGCCATTTTCAATGAATCGATATGTAGGCTATCTATGTATTCATACGCACGGTTTTTTGTGTGAAAAGGCTTAATATATTTGAAAGGGGTTTCCGTAGCAAAAAGGAAACCTCTTTTTAACCAATCAGAATCAAGCATTCATCAATGTCATGGTAGAATGTTGTATATCAGTGTCAATAAGTCGTTGCTTGACTTGAACTATGAAGATGTTTCTCTAGCCATCACCGCTGCTATCCATGTATAACCACAGGAGTCCGTATCTAAAAATAGACGCCCTCATGCATATTCACACTGCAAACACGAAAACGTCGTTTTTTTCCGTATATGGTCATTCGACGGAAAAACGACGTTATTTGGACGTTTTCAAACCATCGTTTTTCCGTCCAAATAACGTCGTTATTTGACATCGGAATTTACTGGGAGAGAACGATAGCGTTAAGCTCCTCCCTTTCTTGATTGACATTGTCAATCAAGCAACAGCGTCTACCGGTATTTCTACTTCTCAGATTTCATTGGTCAGTCCCCGCGTGTTAGATTACAGGCCCGCGTTTGACGCTGCACTCGAAGCGCTTAGCGGAAGTACTGAAATCAATCGTTCTGCGCATGCGGATTACTTAATGCCTTGACCAAATTTTTCGTTCTGTGCATGCGCGATTTCGCGTATTGTTTCCTAGATTTAATGTCACCACTATTTGACAATGGTTCATAAACACAGTCACGTGAAGGTTCGGATTCGTAACGAGTAACTCCATTTAAATTGAAGAGGATCCCCAGTGATATGTAAGATTCCAAGATGAAACTATTCTATGGCTATCTATGCTGCCACCCAAACCGATCTAAACGGGACCCGATAGCTTATTGTATGCTATATAGTCATATGGAAGTGGACAAGAACTATACATTGTATTCCGGCCGATTGTTCTTGTATTTACTTATTAGTCAGGAAAATGGACTTAAAAGGGGAGTTGTTGAATGTACACACACACACACACAACTGACCTAAATAACCTGGACAGGAAATACTGCTGATAGCCTCTGGTCAACTCATCCGCGCCACTGCAGAATGTTCGTCCAACTCTGCAGGGGGCATTCTCAGTGGCTTCAAACGCGCTGAAATGTTTTCGCCTTGCATCCAAGATGGTGGACAAGTGAAATCGTATGAAATTTGGCTATTTTAGGTCCTATCTCTTTTTTGATTACCCAATAAAGTCAGTTCATAGTTACACGGTTGTGAAGAAGCTTACAACTTTATGAGACTTATTCATCTCATTCCAAAAAAGCTACTCGCGCTCACATAAAGTTGTAGTTAT